ATGGGGGACGTTTCATTAAACTATCTCCTACTCATCTTTTTCATTGCCAACACCACCAGTTTTATGGCCTAGGCCACCCAGATTTTTTTTTCACAGAATCCTGGCTATAGAAATGGATAATTTTTTTACCCACAAGGCCACACAGTGAGGGTAAAAACCTCATGGCAATTACTAGCAACCAGTTCTGCCCATGAAAATCATGGCAGTAAACCAAAGCATAATTCACCGATCGCTGATGGGAGTAATTCCCCTCCCCACATGTCTCACAAGTCTCTAGAGAAAGGGTAGGCCATGATGCGCCACCTAGACATGTTGGACTACAGCTCCCATTATCCCCAAATATTGGACTAGCTGGTTGGGGTGATGGGAACTGTAGTCCAAAACATCTGGAGGGCGGTGATGCAGGATTATGATGAAGGCTAAAGACAACCAGTTGAATACAAATGTTTTACGCTTGAGTCTCATTGAAAGCATTGGATATATTATTCATAGCTAATTTGCATCTCATGGAGTTCAAAAGGACTTCAATGTGACTTACGGAATCCAGACCCATGGCTATGTGATGGCTCTACATCTCTGTGTGCTGCTATGATGAGCCTCTAAATACGCCCGCACTGTGTGGCATAGTGGTTAGAGTTCTGGACTGGGACTAGTCCCCTTCAGCCATAAAGCTCTCCGGGTGACTTTTGGCCAGTTGTTGACTCTCGCCTGACCAACCTCGACGGTTGTCATGGGGATAAAATGGGGAAGGGGAAGAGCCTTGGTTTCCTTGAAAGAGGAGAACAGCTGGAATAAAAATGGAATGCCATCAACCACTGCAGCTTAGGGATTCACAAACTTTTGGGGGAGTGGATCAGGCACATCTGGACTTTTGAGTGAGTGTCAAGGTGGCTTTGCTGGCTTTGGGTTTGCCTTTGCTTATTCCTAAATCAACGCCCAGTGATGAAACTAAGACTATTGTATTTTGGGCACCTTATGAGAAGGCAAGACTCACTTAAGAAAACAATAATGCCAGGGCAAGGTGAAGGCAGAAGAGGGGGTAGACCAAACAATGGACTGATTCATCAACGAAGCAACAGCCTTGAGCTTTAAAGAGATGAGCCGGGCTGTGAAGGACAGAAAATTGTGGAGGGCACGCGTTCCGTTGCCATAAGCTGGAGACAACTTGATGGTGCATGACAGTAAGCAACAACACAATGGCAGCCGCAATGGGCAAGATCAGGAGCTCCCTTTTCCAGAGCAAAGCAGTTGTTTCTCTTACAATCAAAAGAAAGAAGCAAGCCCGAGAACCTAAGGAGAGGTGGGTTCTGGGCTCCCCCACACAAAATGATCCTTTTGAACCCAAATAAAGATGGGCCCATTGGGACATGTATTACTATGACTATTTTTTTATTTCTTTACCATCCCATAGTCAAAGCATTCTGGGCATTGTACAACCACTAAAGCTGTACATTGGATAATAAAGGATAACATTGAATATAAATAAAATTATATTCTATCGCACTAAAAATATTAAGCCAAGGTTTTTGACGGCTTAAAGAACTAAGACAAGTACATGTTGCCAAGCCAGCTAAAAATAAACAATAGTTTCTTGCCATTTGCTATTTGGAGTTGGTCAGTGCTTCAACACTGAGGGCGAGCCTCGTCTGGCACCAAAAAGATGTAAAGTTGATGCTGAGCTGGTTTCTTTCTGCCAAAAATGAAGCTTTGGAAGAGATGTTTCACCCAAAAGCCGCCCTAAATTAGTAAGTTCTGCTCAGCTGTCTCTGCCGCGACTCTCCAGAATTGTGGCCTATATTTATAGACTTAAAAGCAAAAAAACCTAGACTGCTTGAATATGTAAAAGGAAGGTGAAATACGCAGGAGTCCTACACTGTCATCCTATAACTATCTACTCAGAAGTAAGTCACACTGCTTTCCATGGCATCTCCTGATGTCGTCCTTAGTCGTGAAGTTGTGTCTGGCCCATCGCGACCCCATGGACAAGATTCCTCCAGGCCTTCCTGTCCTCCACCATCCCCCAGAGTCCACTTAAGCTCACACTAACTGCTTCAGTGACTCCATCCAGCCACCTCATCCTCTGCCGTCCCCTCCTTCTTTTGCCATCTATTGTGCCCAGCATTAGGCTCTTCTCCAGGGAGTCCTTCCTTCTCATTAGGTGGCCAAAGTCTATGAGTTTCATCTTCACCATCTGGTCTTCCAAGAAGCAGTCAGGGTTGATCTCCTCTGGGACTGACCGGTTTGATCACCTTGCTGTCCAAGGGACTCGCAGGAGTCTCCTCCAGCACCACAATTCAAAGGCCTCAATTCTTCGGTGCTCAGCCTTCCTTATGGTCCAAATTTCACAGCCATACATTGCAACTGGGGAAACCATAGCCTTGACTATACGCATGTTTGTTGGCAGGGTGATGTCTCTGCTTTTTAGTATGCTGTCTAGATTTGCCATAGCTTTCCTCCCCAGGAGCAAGCGTCTTTTAATTTCTTGGCTGCAGTCCCCGTCTGTGGTGATCTTGAAGCCCAAGAAAATGAAATCTGTCACTACCTCCATTTCCTCCCCATCTATTTGCCAGGAAGTGAGAGGACTGGATGCCATGATCTTAGTTTTCTTAATGTTGAGTTTCAAGCCAACTTTTGCGCTCTCCTGCTTGATGGCATCTACTGGCAGGTATATGTGTATAGGACTGAAGTCTTAAAGCATCAAGATCTAGTATTAAACTCTGTACTACATAGAATAGGATACTATCCTTTAAAAAAACAGAATCCCTATTCCTTATTACCAGATAATTTGGTTTCTGCATTGCCAGCAACAAATTGGAAACTTCCAATTTCGAGGAACTTGGGTTGGGAATGTTGACATAAGTTCGACTGGCAAATCTGTTTAGAAGTAAAGCCAGTCCTTGGTTGTTCATGCTTTGCTTCTTTCAGCCCATATTATAGAGCCAGCCAATCACAGGATATGTAAACTATTTCTACAACCCCAAAATAAGGCAAAATGGCAACATCTTGAGCTTTAACAGATTTTTCTTCCTTCTTCAGTGCTGCCAAGTCAATATTTTTGTAGGGCTTAGAGGGCTCAAAGGAAGCTTAAACAATAATTATGTACTCATTTAATGCAGATTTACACATAAATATGGGTGCCTAAAACTCACCTCTGTCCAAAGAAACTGTAGCCCTTCTCAGCCTAGTGCCCTCCAGATATTTTCACCACCCCTATAATTATAACTATCCTTATACAAGACCGAGACTGACAGCACCATAGTCTAAAATATTTGTCAAGTACCAGGTTGGAGAAGGCCATCCTAACATCTGGAAAACCCCTACATTTTGCCTATTTTCCTGATGCTTCTGTGTTCCAGAAAGTTTACTTTCATTGCTTAAATACTGTTCCGGAATAAAGTTGTTACCAATTCTACCCAAAATATAGAATATTTGTCAGGGAAATATGGAGTCACATTCTGAAACTGCAGAAGTCTTACTCCCAAAAGTTGTTGCCTTTCTCTGAGCCACAGCTTGTTCGTTCAGAAATTAATCTTAGGGCATAATCCTATCAGAAAAAGTCCTCTAGCTCCCAACAGTCCCCAGATCTGTGAATCTTTTTTCAGTCCAAACACACAGTTTGGGAGGGAAGTGTGTCCTTGAGCAGATGTCATGACATACTCTCCATCTGTTCAATGCACAGTGTCACTGTTTTGGACAGGGGAAGATGGGAACTGGAGAGCAAATTGCTGTCTGATGTGATTGCAAATCGGTCTCAAGTGTGTCTTTTATAAATTTAATGCACGCAATTTTGAAGACTGTAAAAAGAATGAGGTTAGCCTCCCACGTGGTGCTGTGCACGCCCAGAATCTCACTTGCCTATTTCGTCACGCATCTATGAATTAGACTGGCATCTGGTTGTTAGCTCCGTGGAACCTCCAGGGCCGGAAACACTGTACCAGACGCTGAATTTGACAAGCATAGAGCTCCAGGATATGTGAATGGCGGGGGGGGGGGGGGGGGAAGAGCGGGGAGCCGGGCAGAGGTTGCGGCACTCCAGTTCCCATCAGCGCCAGCCAGCAAGGCCGGGGAGGGTGAGAACATGCCACCAACAACCTCTGCAGGGCCAGCACCCACCATGTCCATGCGCAACAGGAGGCGAGCGTTTTCTCCTCCGATTGCATCTACCTGCCTGGGCTGGAGGAAAAGCCCCACCTGTCGCATGTCTGCACGCCAAGCTCTCGGTCCAGGCGCTGTCCGGGACCGGCGGGGGGGGCGGGATGCGAAAACGTGCCCTTTCCCCTGGTCAGGCACGCTCCGAGTCGGCAGAAAGCGGAGGTCAAGGCTCGGCCCGAGCGTCATCCTCCGATTTCCCCACCGCCTTCCCCAAAGCAGCCGCTCTTTTCGACCCAGCCGCCCGAGCCCCGCAGGCGCTGACTCAGAAGCAAGTCCCGCCCGAGCGCCAGGGGTGCGGGCGCGCGGTCTGCCTCGCAGTAGGGCAATCGGTGAATTAATCTGGCACGAGTTAGGATCCGTCCCGTGGAGGGGGACTGCTGCTTACTCGCAAGTAGGCGCGCAGACGTGCGGTCCTTTTGTGCCGCGAACCTCCGCAGCGCCCTTTCCTGCGAGCAAGCGGCAGCGCCCATTTAAACAGCGAGAGGGACTTCAGAGGCACATCACCTTGCAGATAGCAATAACATAAACAAAGCACTAAAATAAATAAAGTTGTTCTTTAAAGCAACAGGTGGGAGCCTGCTGGGTTTGGGCCGCTGCAGGAAGCAGAAACTTCTTGCGAGCGAGCAGCAAAGCAGCGCTGCGCAACAGATGGGCTGGAAAAGGGGCGGGGCCAAAGCGGGCGACCGAGCCCGGAGGAGAGCGCTGGCGGCGAGTTCCCCCGCCGGTGGGCGGGATCCACGGAGAGTGGGAGGGGCGGGGTAGGGGCCGAGGGCGACATCGGGGGAGGGGCGTGGCCCGGATGCAGCCTATAAAAGGCCGCCCGTGCGGCGCGCCGCGCTCGGACAGCAACAAAGCTCGCGTGTCGCGTGGTGGATCGGCTGTTGCTCGGGCGCGCTCTCGCGGCGGCCGTTGGAAGACCGTTGGGTGCCGGGGTCGCCGCCGCCTCTCCAGCCCCCTGTGCTGTGCGGGGGTCCGGTCGCTTCTGTGACTTCTCCCGGGGGCTCCTCGCCCAGGTAAGCGATTTCAGATCGCCTCTGCCAGCCAGCAGCTTTCTTTCCCCAAGTCTGACTGGACTACAGTGTCCATGGTCCCCAGCGGGGAAGCGTCCTGGCATTTAGACGGCGGGAGCCCGCGTTTGGAACCTGACTCACCCGCGCGGGAGGGGGGACGTCGGCCAATTCGACTCTTCTCTCTGGTGTTCCTCGCAGGGTTGTTGTGAACTTGCCCTTTGTCGACTTGCCCTTTCGTTTGTCTTGGCTGCCCGAGAGCTGAGACGCTTTGGGCAGTTCCTGCAACAAAGCTTTGTGATCCGAATTGGTGTGGCGTGTAATGGGGTGGTTCTTGGAGCAAGCGCGGGTAGGCAGATACGACATCGCCGTGAACTAATAGGCAGTGATGGCATTGTAGCGCCCCCTCCCCACCCAGGCTGGCAGCCTTTTCCCTTCGGGGGTTGTATGAGTGTGGCTTCCATTTACAGGAAGGGGAGTTACCTTATTTATGCTTATTTCATTAATGTTATACATTTTAGTCTCACTTTCCTCCCTCTTGCAAAGACCCCAAGGTGGTTTATGCAGTCTTCTCTGTTTGCCTGCACAACAGTCCTGCAAGGTAGGCCAGGCAGAGGCTGTGACTGCCCCATTGTCATGCAGACTTTATGCCTGGGTGGGTTCGAGACCTTGGATCTCCAGTTTCTTAGTCCAGCATCCTAATCACTACACCATGCTGGTCCTTTTTTCTGCCCCTTCGTTTTTCCTCTTGCAGGCAAGCTCCTTACATAACTCTTTCCTTTTTCTGTATTTTTATGCTCACAACAATAACCCCCTGAGGATGGTTAGACTGAAAGTATTGGATAAGGGACTGGTCCAAAGTTGTGCTATGAGCTTTGTGGTCAAATGGGAATTCAAACCCAGATCTTACAAACCACCCCTTGCCACCCTGCCCCTCTCTGCCAGCTGTGTCCTTCTGCTTGCTTTTCATCCCGTGTTCCTTTTGGTTTTCCAGCTCTTTGCTCCCATTTCTTAAGTCCTATCCTTGCTGGCACAGATCATCTTCTTTTCCCCTCTTTGCCTCTGCCCTTTACCTGTTCCAGTGTAAGGCTGGTAGTCCCATTAACTTGTCTTACTGTTACCACAGATCAGTTTTCCTGAACTCCGTGCCCTCAGCATGTTTTGGACTTCAGTTCTCAGCAAACCCAGCCAACATGTCAGATGGCCAGGACTGTTGGACATTGTAGTCCACAACATCTGGAGGGCGTAGGTTGGAGAAGTCTGCCTCAGATCTTTTCCTGCTGTTTCCAGCAACGGACATATGTAACCAAGGTAGGAGGAGCCATGTAGAATATTAAATAGGTGCTGACAATTCAGCTTGGAAAACACACATGCACAGAACAAAGTTCTAGAATTGATCAACATGTGCCTAAAATTGTGTAGGGTCTGCACAAAGCTTTGAAAATTAACAAGCAGCAAAGAATGGTTAGTTGTTCCAGATACGGTTTTAGACTGAGGGAGCCTCTGCAATAGGAAACTGAATTCAGTTTCACAACCCTTTTCTGGCTTCCAATACTAGAATTTCTTTTCTGGTGGAACAGAAAGAGTATCTTCTTCCTGTCTTCAAATATTTTGGGCTGGAGAGAAAACAGGATTGATGTAGTCTGTTGATCTGTTTCATTTTAAAATGTTTTTACTGGAAAAAAGACAGGGAAAAAAGCCCTGCTGGATCTGGTAAAGACAGTTCCATTCATTCCACTATCAGGTTGCCAGCTGTTGGCCAGCAAGATGCCCCAAGTTGCTCCCACTCAGGCCATGGATGCATACGGCTCCTTGGGTGCTTGTGAACTGCCTTCAAATATGGAGGCTCCACTTGGTTCTGATAGTTAACTGTCTTCTGAGAGTAGCAGTAAATAAGATTTGACTTGTGGCACTCTGGTGGTGTTTGAGCAGTGGGAAGCATCTCACCATATTTTCTTTGATTAGTTGTTGGGGAGGGGAGCAGCAGAAGAGGAGAGAAGCATTCATCAATTGCTTAGGTCCAAGGGCAGTTTTAACCCAAAAGAATGTGAGTGGGAAGGAAAAAAATGGGCATGACCTTTGAGACTTTTGTAGGCATACCCAGCTGGCTGCTTTTAGGGAGGGGGCAAAATTCATAGACTAGAGGGAGTGGTCTAATTCAGGAAGAGAGGTTTTATGGACTGTATAGGGGTTAAATAGAGATCAAATCAGTTGATCCTAAAGGAAACCAACCCAAACTATCCTTTAGAAGGATAGATACTGAAACTGAAGCTCTAATACTTTGGCCACATAGTGAGAGGAGGGACTCATTGGAAAAGACTCTGGGGAAAATTGAAGGCAAAAGAAGGGGACAGCAGAGGATGAAATAGTGTCACTGATGAATGAACATGAATTTGGGTGCACTCCAGGAGGCAGAGGACAACAGGTGGGGCTGGTGTGCTTTGGTCCGTAGGGTTGCAAGGAGCTGGGCATGACTGCAACTGAACAACAACAGGAGTTAAATACTGAAGATTTTCCCTTGAAGTTGAGGGGCAGAAGGGAGAGATGGATTTCAACAACATTCATCCTTGTTCTAAAACAGCCTTTCCCAGTGCCGTGTGGTGGACTACATACCCCATAACTGCTTGCTAGCTGGCTGGGGATAGTGGGAGTTGTAGTTCAACACGCCTCTTAGGCACCAGGTTGGGCAAGGCTGTTATGCAATAACAAGGGAATGCTCTCATAATCTCTCTGCTCTCATAATCTGTGTGCCATCTGGAATATGTATCAGTCAATATATGTTTGTATATGTGTCCCATGAAGTGATGGAATGCTGTTTCTAGCATTTGATGGCAGTAATTGCAGAGTGTGTCTTATCAAGTGTGAGGGCTTGCCCATGTTCAGAAGGTGAACGGACTTTATTCCATCTTCAGAAAAAGAGGCAGGCATACTTTTTATGTTTTTCCTCTAATGGTGGTGGTTCTGAGAGAATGGGGCGGGGGTGGCCTTCTCTCAGGTAAGATGGAGGCAACTATGTGCTCCCTAATTCCAATGCCAGAGGTGTAACAGTTACTTAGTTAAAAACCAGTGCAAAAACAAAGCAGCGGCATCTTTAAAGCCAGCAGGTTTTGTGAGGAGGCCATATTTTTTTTGTGGGCTTTTGCTCATGGCATCACTAGAAATGGGCTCTCAATGCTGATGATGTTAGCCTGGTAAAAAGCACCACAGGACCTCTCTTTGGGTAGTTTGTTTTTTGTGGGCCTTTCCACATTCACTTGGCTTTTCTTGGATTCTTTTTATTTATGTTTAAGTGACAATCTTCATTTTTGCTGCAACAGGCAGACTGGAATTGGCCAGTTAATTGGATGCGGTTTGATTTTTTTTTTATTGCTGAGGAGCAGCATGTAGCTGCTACAATTAATATAACCATGTTGCTGGCAAAAGCCAATGTGCTGTAGTGGTTTGTGTTGGACTGGGATTTGAGAGAGCAAGAGTCTAATCTCCACTCAGCTGTGGAGTGATGTTGGGCCAGTCACTGACTGCCAGTTTAGCCTCCCTCCCAGAGCTGTTGTGTAGATAGATGTGGATAGGAACAAGAGATTGTGAGCTGCCTTTGATTCCTTGTAAGGAAATTGTGGGATTTAAGTATAAAAATATGTAAGTAGATGAAAGCTAGGTGTTGGGAAGAGCTGCCTGCTTGAGGAATACTGGTGAGGTGCAGTAAAATGAGATGTCTGGATGACACTGGCCAGGATGCAAAATATATTGGCTTACTGAAAGTTAAAATAGGTGGTAGTCCACTGGGCTTCTCAAGCCTAAGCATGCACTTTTCAGGGAATGAACATACCAACTGAATGAGTTTCGAAATGTAGCACCTTGAGAATAGGCAGTGCCTGCTGATGCCCATGCGGTTGTGGGTATATGCAGATGTGCTTAGTGATGATTTTAGAATAGGGGGTGCATTTTTTCCCAAATGAACTCCCTGCTAATGGTGTGGTGTGATTGTTTGATAATCTTTTGACTTTTGTGTACGATTTTCCCTACTATGAAAGGTTGAAATGCCTCCCCTAAGGCTAAGCTACACGCAGTTAGAGCTGTTATTATTACTACATTAGATTTACATTTCTTCCTCTTTCAAGGAACCCAAGGTGGCTTGCAAGATTCTCTTCTTTTCTGTTTTATCCTCAACAACCCTGTGGGGTTGGATAAGCAGAGTCAGCAGCTGCCCCAAAGTTACTCAGTGAGCTTCATGGTTAAGAGTCCCAGTCTAACACTGGCTCACACTGACCATAAATTACATTATGCTGATATTTTACGTATTTTGGAGGCCCATCCCTATTGCTTTTGCCCTACAAGCCTTTGACTTCTCCTGCACCAACCATCACAACATAGTCCCCTAAAATATCTCCAAAACTTAGTTCAGCACTCAGGCAGAAATGCAGACTTTCCCCACCTTTGCTTTAGCCTGCAGAAATATATTTAAATTCTGGAGACCACTTGGCAAAGACTGTTGAATTTTTAAGCAGCTGCTTGGTGTTGGGCTTCTCCCGTTCACATATAAAACCAAGAGCAAAAAGTGTGCTGTGTCCAGCTGAGCTGGAGAAATTCATTGTAGAAAAGGAAATCCTAGCAGTTTTCGTTTGGACAACAAAGACTGGAGATCTCTTCTTTCACCCTTCTTGGAAAAACGGTAGAAACAGCTGGAGTCTTCTAGATGTTGGCCAAACTGGGCTGGACTTGGAATGGGGAAATGGGCTCTGTCTCTGTAGGGAGGCACAGCAGACACTGAAATTACTCCTGGCAAGCTGCCAACACTTAAGCACAACAGCTTCCTGTGACTACAACAAATTGCAGCAGGCTGTGGTTTTGGGGCTATCATGGCCCCCCCTTGCTGCTGTTGTAGTTTAACCGTCATAGCAGGCTGTAGGAATTGTGCCCAGCTGGTAAAGTCATGCACAGAATGTGCACACTTATAGCAATGCTTGACTTTGCGTACTGAGCTTATAATTTTTTTTTCATCTTCCTTT